CTGGAGCTCAGATGCATGGCCGCGGAGCAATTTTGCCCCCCCCAGCGGCCTGATCCGGACTCCAGGGGGTGGGAAAAGGCCTCCGGAGCTCGGATCGGCCATGGGGGGGATGTGCAAAATTGCTCTGCAGCCATAGATCCGGGCGGCAGAGGCCTTTTCTAGGCCTCTGGAACCTGGATCGGGCTGCTGAGGGGCTGCAAAATTGCTCTGCAGGCATACCTGGACTCGCGCTGGCAGCTTCCATTAAAAAAAAGGTACCTGCATTGTATGCCTCTACCATCCAGCTGCTCCCTGACTCCCAGTGCAGAGAGAAAGAGAGAGCGCTGGCACACGTGGAGATGGCGCACATGCCCACAGGGATGGCTCTGTGTGCCACCTGTGGCACGCGTGCCATAGATTCGGCACCACAGATCTAGCCTGTCTTAAATGTGCTGGTCTCTTTCCTACTCTGCATGTCTTAAATTCCCAGAAATTCCCTACATTGACCGGCAATACATCTCCATGATTTTAGGCAATTATTTTTTTTCCTAGTGGTACACAGATATGCCAGGGTTGAATGTAGAACTTTTTACTTGCAAGGTGCATACTATCATGCTGAGCCATGGATCAGTCCTTGTAGTTGTACACATAACTTGCCTGGTACGTTTGTCAACATTAATGAAACGGACAACAACACTTTTCATTTCCCAGACTTTTTAAAATCTGTAATAAGTTACACAAACATTTTTGCAGCTGTTCTTGGCTATATTTTATTTTATATTTTGTATTGTACTTTTTATAGTTTCATTAGCTACAGTGGAAACTCTTGTAGCTGATTTTTTTAAACCAATTCATGATATGTTTGAATGTGTTAATTAAAAAGGTTCTTCTTGTGATCCCCCAACTAAAGCTGTGTTTCATTCTGCATTGTATCCTCAAAGTAATTTACATAAAACTTACTGCTGATAAAGCACAGTTACCACCACTTTATACATATAATTGTTAATACATATGCATTGCTTTTCATTTCTGTATAATTCAGGTCCATGGAGCGATTTAATATATGTCCTTGATTGTTTGATGACAGCTTTCAGTTCCAAGTTAAGCAAAATAACACAAAATAAATGTAAAATGTCAATGTGGGGTTTAATTTCACCTAAAGATAGCATAAAAAATAATATACAGAATAGTAGTAGAATATACTACAGTGCATGTTTTAAAACTTTGGAGACAATGATTTGTTTATTAAAATATATACCCAATGAAATGAACTCTTTCAGCAATGTTTTTAATATTAATTATAATAGTGCTAAACAACCTGAATAATAAATCCCACCCAAAACTGCAAGTTACTTGCAACAGTCATTCAGATCTAGCTATTTTTAATATTTTTTTGTTTTTAAAAAGCATGACAATAAATGAGAATGTAACAAAAACGTATTTATTTTTTGTGCTTTCATTAAGATTAATTACATTTTTAGGAATGTAAAAGAAAAGTCTGTTTACCCACTTTCTTCTTAAACTTCTTTTTCTTCTGGTACACATTGAACAAAAAGCTATATAGTACTGGTTGGGGGAGTTAATATGTATCTAATCAAAGTAATTCCTAGTGTCTGGATAGAATTGCAGAAGAAAATGTACCAGTACTGAGTGAGTACATTACTTTTTAATCTTGATAATGAAAAATAATTATTCACTGATTATAATTCAGATGCCTGCTTATGTTCAGGTAAATAGCTTTTTTTTTAGTTTTAGAAGTCTTAATTAGTAAATCCTGATCAATATCAAACTATCTTTAGATCTCACCGTCAGTTTTAAAAGTAGCCACAGGCATCTCATCAAAACCTGTAAGATGGTAGACATGACCATCTTGCAAATTCTGACACCCGCCCATCCGTTTTCCTTTGCCTCCTCGCCTCTGATGCCCCTGAGCCTTACCATGATGGTAGCAATAATTATGATCAAGTGGGGGGGGGAGAAATCCATCTTCCCAGTGTCATGAAACTAATTTAAATTCTCTGTGTCCAAGCCGAATATTCTGGACTACATTTGTAACCAGATATTATCACAGTGCAAATGCCATCTGCCAAATTCTTAAATTCCATATAGGAGCATAACTGCTATTGTTGTGACTAAACATAAACACTGCAGAAAGGCAGAGCATAAAAAAGGCTGCAGTGACACAAAGGATCCCATGTTCTGGTCTCATCTACAGAAGAATGAGGACAGAGAAAATACAACATTTCCCCCTCCCCCCCAAAAAATGAATTTAGCAACATTTCAAAAATAAGACAAAATATCAATGCGTTATTTGAAACTATAGCAGGAAAGCAAAACCAAGCAACTACAACTAGATGTGTATATTTCTACCGTAAACACTGGAGTACAATTATTATTGTTGTTGTTGTTGTTCTAAGAAGCATCCAACAAGTGTAATTTAATTATACCTTCAAAATGTCTCATGCTCCTGGGCTCTTTTTTATTATAAATTATAGGCTCTTGAATAATAGCAACTCATGTGTACTCGTTGCACAACTCAACATAGAAATATTAATTCCTAAACATTCAACTTGTTTAAGAATTATGGAGATTTCCATTGTTTGAATGTTCTGGTGTACTGTATTATCAAAATAGAAGTTCCTGATTCATTTCCACCCTTTTACATGAGGCCCAATAACAAATGACTGGTAACTATTCTATGAAAAAGGAAACACTAGACCTACAATAGACCACATACCATATACAGGTAGTCCTCAACTTACAACAGCTCGTTTAGTGACCATTCAAAATTACAACAGCACTGAAATTTATGTAATTTATGACCGTTTTTCACACTTACCACCATTGCAGCATCCCCATGGTCACATGATCAAAATTCAGACACTTGGCAACTGACTCATATTTATGATGGTTGCAGTGTCCTGTGGTCATGTGATCACTTTTTGCAATCTTCCATCAAGCAAAGTGAAAGGGAAAGCCAGATTCATTTAACAACTGTGTTACTAACTTAACTGCAGTGATTCACTTCACTTCTGTGGCAAGAAAGGTCATAAAATGAAGCAAAATTCATTTAACAAATGTCTCACTCAATAACAAAAATTTTGGACTTAATTGTGGTTGTAAGTCGAGGCCTACCTGTTTAATTTTGCAAATCATAAGGCTCAAATAAAATTAAAATGGTTCAATTTTCTGAGTTCTTATAATTGCAAAACTTTATGTTGCGAAGAGGTCCCAGAGAAACAAAACAGACTTGTATGATAACCAATACCACCCTGTTCAAAGGCTTAATCACCATAATTTACACAATTGGATGTACCGTGAACATATTCCTGTAAGAACATATTCTTACAGGTAAGAATATGATAGCAGCAGTGGGTTTTTTTGCCTTTACCATACAAGATAATTTGCCCATCTATATTCTCCATTTATACATTATACACAGTAGGCACTTTTTGGACAGCTGGGAATAGAGATGAGGTCTGTGCAGCCTTGCAGATTCAAAAAGCAAAATGGGATTTGGAGTACCTATTCAGAACAGTTCAAGGCACCATGTCTCACTGGACTCACCCAAAGTGCCTTTCACAGATGCCATATAATCCCAGGAAAAGATGCACTTGATTTAATGGGTTTCCATCATGTGCTCCATGCATGTCCTACATGTAACAAATCATCTTTTGCCCTCTGAATCTGGATTGCTGTGTAGCCCTAGTAGAAGCATCCATAAATGCAGTTTACAAGTGCATAAGAAATATGTAAACAACACATATACTGGAGCACACCTGACCCATCCCACTAATGCAGGGGTGTCAAACTGCCGGCTCACGGGCCGGATGTGTCACGCAGAAGCTGCACCCACCCTAGCTCCGGCAAGGGGAAAAAAGTCACGATACGTTGCAACACGTCACGTGACGCGACGAATTTGACACCCCTGTACATTACAGAACCATGAAGAGTGTTTTAATTTTGCTGGAATAATACAAAGGGAGACATATGAGAGAATACACTCTTATTTCTGGTCTTCCTCCTTTCTTCTATATACCCTGATCTCCAAAGATCTATAGGACAACAAAGACCATGTCAGATGTCATTATGTCATAAGAATAATAAAGGTTTTCCCTCACTAGTTTTTCTTTAGACAACATGTCACAAATCAGAAATAATAGGCTATATGGCCTTAGATGTAATTGGTACCATAATACATTTGATTATTTTGTGGAAGATAAAAAAGGACAACAGAACCTTTTCCACAATGTGATGATAACTGATCTAATAGCATGGGAAATACAATGCAATAGTACAAGTCTGTTATATGTTTCTTATTAAAGCCACCATTGTTAAGAATATGACTTCATTTGAAATCAAGAAAATTTATGTTAAAAAATATAATTTAACACTGCATTAATTTCAGATATAATTAATGCCTAATTAAAAAATAAGAGAATCAGAAAAAATGTATTCTTGCCAATAACATACAGTATATTGCACTTAAAATATCCATTAAAACATTATTAGAATGTAGATTACAGTGAGTGAACCCCAATATAGGTTTTAGTTTACATAATAAAAATTGTTTTTATTAATAATGTTGCAGCTTACATTTTAAAATATCTCCCTAATTTAGAATATGTTTATACTACTTTATAGTAGTTGTGTGTGTGTATATCTCACAGTATATGGTGCATTCCAACAGAAAGGCACAATTATCAAGCAAATAATACAGTACATGGAAATAAGTGGTTTGTGTTCACACATTAAAATATGGAGTACAAAAAAGGCTCTAAAGCTATCAGGTGCTGTAAGCCAAATTTCATTAAATTTTAGGTTTATTAGCATAGCTTCCTTTCTGTGTGTAAAAAAAAAATAGGTGTGTATATGAAAAGGGGAAAAAGCTTTTTCGTTACAATATAGCCATTTGTGGATGAGGGATATGACATGGCTTTAATTGACCATAGACAGAGCTTCTGGATCAGCTGTAAACATAATTGCTTTAACATATTTAAATAAAGAGAAAATGGTTCATTTATAGTCTGAAGCGTATTTATGCATACACACAAACCAATTAGTTATTTATAATGTTGTTACAATGGTAAGACTAGACATGGCCTTTCACAAGGACCTGAATCTATAAGATTTTTAACCAGTATCAAAGATTTGAGCTCACTGCCTGCAGCATATAATTTTTGCAGAGGCAATACCATAGCACTTCTCAAAAGCTATACCATCTCTCGCATAGATCAACTGTCCATCACTGTTTCCGTATGAAGAAAACACTAACATGGAGACAGTCCAATTAGGCAAAATAAGAAAGGAACAAAGAAAGCCACTGAGAATCCCACCGTTCCATAAGTAATATAGCGATAAGGCAATTCAACTCCCATGTGTTGTCGGGCTTCTCGAACATCTGCACTAGAAACACCAAAGACTTTACAGGCCAGTGGAATGGTGACCTTCTTCATGATCATTCTCACCAGCAACAGAAAAACTAATCCAATCAATAATCGCAGAGCAGCCTTTCCAAAGAGATTTACTGTGAGGGAGGGAACTAATGGAAGCATTTCTTGTGGAGGATCTGGCATTAGATTCAGCTTATAGGTAACATAGGAGCCACAGGCAATTCCAGCACCACTGCCCAAGATCTGAGCTGTATCTCCTCGGGATGTGCTCCACGTATCTAGAGTGAAGGAAAACACCCCCAAAGCCAGGTGAAAACTGACAATGATTAGTGGTGCATATGTGAAAGTTAAGTTGAAATTATCAACTAGATCCACAGTTGGAAGGAAGACGACCAAGATGAGAAGAGCATAAAGAAAACCAGCAATAACATCCTGTTGCAAGAGAGAGAGAGAGAAATAATTAATAACATATATGAATTGTGAGTTTTAATTAATATAAATTAGATATTTTCAAAATATATTTCCTTGAAAGCTATTCAGAGATGATTCTGAAATTATACATTAAAAACAAAGGAAAGAGGAATAGATTACAGTGTGCACTCATGTTCATTATAGAAAAACGTGTTTTTCCAACACAGAACAATTACAGTAAGTATCCTTTTGGAGGAGGATTTTAATATACAGTACCTGACAGTTACTGGGCTAGAACAGTAATGCTATTTATTCAGATAAATGAAGCATTTGTGGAACAAGGTCACAATAGAGCTTCCACATCCCTGAAGATAACTTTCCTGCATAAAATTTAAATAATCTCAACCATGCCATGTCTCTAGTTACTATGAGAAATCTCAAAATGTATGCATCTAGGCCAGTGTTTCTCAACCTTGACAACTTTAAGGCATGTGGACTTCAACTCCCAGAATTCCACAGCCAGCAATGCTGGCTGTGGAATTCTGGGAGTTGAAGTCCACATGCCTTAAAGGTGTCAAGGTTGAGAAACACTGATCTAGGCAGAAGTTTATTTCCCCAACAACATTACTCAAAATCCAGAGTGTAGGGTGCAGTCCCTATGTGCATAGCTGTTCATGACAGAAAAGAGGTTATATTTATTTGAGGAAGGAACAGCAAGAGCCTCAGGATATCAAATGAGAACAAAGAAGCAGCAAGAAGAAACTCTTCCTCCAACATTTCAGAGAGTTGCTGCAAAAGAATTAATAGATTAATTCAAATACAAAAATGAGCTGGACAAACTTTATAGATAAAATGAGTGACAGAACTTTATGTACAAAAATGAGATCAAGATAAATCAAAAAAATTTTCAAAAAAAATGACATAAGTAATTCTATCGGCAGTTTACATTTCTCTACTACAGGTAGTCCTCGACTTACAATGAAGTTATGACGGACACCCCCCCCCAAAAAAAGCTACTCACGACTTGGTTTCAGAGTTAAAGCCGCTGCAGTGTCCCTGTGGTCATGTGAACAAATGTGTGTGCTTGGCAAGCTGCCTGCCCTTACAAGTGACCTCAGGGACATTGGCTATCTCCCTCCATCCTTCCCCTCTAGGTCCCCATAGGCCTTGAGCATGGTTCCTATCCTGCTGGGTCCCACACTCTTCTCCCCACCTCCTCTGACACCAGTCAGTCACTTACCTTTACTGTAGATTTCCTACTAAAAACAGTTGCTACTCTGCACTATACAGTGCTACTCCTATACAGTGGAGGTCACATGGCTGTCCTGGAAGCAGGCACGATTTCAGAGCAGCCTCGATGAATCCAGGGACTCCGAGGGGAAAGGAGGCCTGCTCTTCATCCCCAATTCAATCTCTGTAGCTCCAGAGACAATAGGATGGGAAGCAGACCCAAGGCCTGTAGGGTCGCTAAGAGCTGGGAAGTGAGGTATGGGGTGCCTCAGGGGGTAGGGGAAGCACTGGGAGGCCTGAGGCAGGGCTGTACTAGGCTTCCAGGTCCGTCCCTGTCCCTGAGGCACCTCTTGCTCACTCAGTGACTGCACTGGGAAGAACAGGGAGGAGGTTGTTAAGCGAGAAAATCACGTGGGTGCCTTTGTTTAAGGACCGTCACAATTTGCAATGGCAGGCTCCATTATAGATGTAAGTAATACAGGTAAGACTACCCGTATTCATATACAAACTGAATAAAGAAAGAAGAGCCTGATTCCAGGAATTCTTTCCAACCTCTTTAGAGGTAATAGCCAGAAGAAGTCCCATATTTTCTTCTGTGTAACAAAGAAGTGTGTGGCATCTATGTCTATGTGCATATTTCTGCTTTCCTCTAACTTTGCACTTGTGGATGTGTGTGCACTGGGAAGTGATGTACCAGCCAGTTCCAAAAGCCCAATACCAAGAGCCTACCACCACAGTGAAGGGACAAAAGCTGCAAGCAGTGGACCAATTTATGTATCTTGGTAGTACCCTCTCCCGTGCAGTGACAATTGACATCGAGGTCAACTGTAGAATTGCCAAGGCAAGTTCTGCATTGGGCAGACTGCAGACTAATATATGGGACCGCCGTGGAATAAGCCTTGCTACTAAGCTTAAAGTTTACCAGGCAGCAGTGCTAACTACCCTAATGTATGCTAGTGAGACCTGGACAGTGTACAGGAGGCACGTCAGGCAACTGAATTACTTCCACATGACTTGCCTTCGCAGAATTCTGAGGATCCGGTGGCAGGATAAGATACCAGATACAGAGGTCCTCTCCAGAGCAGGCNGCTGGGCAGGCCACGTTGTAAGGATGCCAGACCATCGCATCCCTAAACAGCTCTTCTATGGTGAGCTGTCTCAAGGAAAGCGATCGCACGGGGGACAAAAGAAGCGATACAAAGACACGCTGAAAGCATCTCTCAAGTCCCTGGATATCGACACCATCTCTTGGGAATTTTTGGCGCATGATCGACCGACATGGCGTACTCTGGTTTACCAGGGTTGCCAGACATATGAACACAGAAGGACAATCTTGGCACAAGAGAAGCGAGCACTCTGTAAAGCCAGAGCTGCAAATGCTGAAGCAACAGTGTCCACATTTCTCTGTTCAGTATGTGGCAGAACATTCCGTGCTAACATCGGTCTCATCAGCCATCTACAGACACACCGCTGATGGCCCATAATCCATAAGATGTTAAGGTCTTCATCGAAATCGATGGACGAACAACAGCACTGGGAAGTAAAGAGCTACCAGTCTCTTCAAGATAATGCAGATCAGGAAATAGATTCTACAGGATGACTAAAGCTATATAGGTAGTCCTCAACTTACAACACTTCATTTAGTGACCGTTCAAAGTTACATCACTGAAAAAAGTGACTTATGGCCGTTTTAAACACTTATGAATGTTGCAGCATCCCCATGGTCATATGATTAAAATTCGGACACTTGGCAACTAATTCATATTTATGACCTTTGCAGTGTCCTGGGATTATGTGATCACCTTTTACGACCTTCTGACAGGCAAAGTTAATGGGGAAGCCAAATTCACTTAACAACTGTGCTACTAATTTAACTGCAGTGATTCACTTAACTGTGGCAAGAAAGTTCATAAAATGGGGCAAAAATCACTTAACAAATGTCTCACTTAGCAACATAAATTTTGGGTTCAATTGTGGTCGTAAGTCAAGGACTACCTGTATTTGATTGAAATAGTTATGACAGAAACGGGCAATTCTCCTGGGGAGCGGAGGGGGAGGGAGGCAGTTTGAATCTATTTCCAATAAATTTCTGCCTCTGGATTTAACACACGTCTTCTGCACCTGATATTTCCCTAGTGGCCCCCAGACCATTCAAGATCAACTCCCTGACTCCCTATAAGGGCAGGCTGCAGATGCTCCCCTGAGTCACATGAATGGAATGGAATGGAGCCATCAACAATGTTCTGAACTGCTACCTACCAGTTTTTTCTTAGGGATACACTGCAGGAATCTTTGCTGGATTATTTTTTCTCTGCAGCTCCAGCCAAATCTAGTCCATTTTTAGTATCATCCTTCATTTAACAACTTGTCCTTCTTTGAACTGGAAGAATATCATCATTAGTCTACCTTCTTTTAGAAAATGGGGGGGGATATAATACATTGGGGGAAAAGGCTGCATTTACAAAGGATAAGCCAATGCAATGCACACATTTCTGTCCGAAATGACAGAAAGGATTACATAACCTGTTAAATAAATTATCCCTGTGAAAAAGAGATGGAATGAACATGACTACTAAGATAGTTTAGATCTGCATCTCAAAAGGATCTAGAAAAGGAAACAAACTTCAGATTAAAAATTATTACACAAATTATCTGATGTTTGAGTTCATGTGTACACTGTGTGCACAATTATTAGGCAAGTGAGTATTTTGACCATATCATCATTTTCATGCGTATTTTCTACCTCCAAGCTGTATAAATTTGAATGCTTAGTGGATATAAGCATATCAGGTGATGTGTATTTGTGTAATGAGGGAGGGTGTGGCCTAAGGAGATCAACACCCTATATCAAGGTGTACATAATTATTAAGCAGCTTCTTTTCCTCAGGCAAAATGGGCCAAAAAAAGAGATTTAACTCATTCTGAAAAGTCAAAAATTCTAAAAACTCTTTCGGGGGATGCAGCACTCTTGAAAGGGTGGAGTGAAAGTGAAAGTTCTGGAGTGTCCAGAACTACAAGGGGTTTGGTGCTCAGAGACATGGCCAGGGTAAAGAAGGCTGAAGCCCGACCACCAATGAACAAGACATATAAGTTAAAACGGCAAGACTGGGGCAATAAATATTTGAAGACAGATTTTTCTAAAGTTTTATGGACTGATGAGATGAGAGTGACTTTTGATGGACCAGACAGATGGGCCCGTGGCTGGATCAGTAATGGGCACAGAGCTCCACTTTGATTCAGACACCAGCAAGGTGGAGGTGGGGTACTGGTATGGGCTGGTATTATTAAAGATCAGCTAGTTGGACCTTTTCGGGTTGAAGATGGACTCAAAATGAACTCCCAACCTACTGTCAGTCAGCCTTCCTTACCTTAGTCATGTCTCTGAGCACTGAACACCTTGTAGTTCTGGGCACTCCAGGTAGGTTGCAGTTCTGGAATATAACAGCACTGAAGGATAAAGGGTTTCTGGTAGCTTTACATTTGATTCTTCTCAAATCTTTGGCAGTTAATGTGTGTCTTTTTTTTTTCAACACATTTCTTGCGATCCTGTTGACTATTTGCAACAAAACATTTGATGTTCTGTGATCATGCCCCAATATCATAGCACAGTGATGGCGAACCTTTTAGAGACCGAGTGCCCAAACTGCAACCCCAAACCCCCTTATTTATTGCTGGGTGCCAGGTGGGCGTGGCCCACTGTGTGAGCATGGCTGTGGTGGTCATGGCAGACTGGGTGGGTGTGGCCAAGATGGGCATGGTCACCTCAATGTTGCTCATGGGGAGGGATGCCTGTGGGGGCCAGGCAGGGTTGGGGGAGATCCAGGGGGTCTCTGGCAGGTGGGGTGGTGGGTAGGAGGCTCGTCCTGCGGGGTGAGGCGAGGCAGGGTGGGGGTGCCATTATCTCAGGGCAAGGCAAGGCAGGGGCCAGGGCAGCTGCTGCCTGACACCATCGGCCCCCGCACACAGAGGCCAGCAAGCGCATGGGGGCTGACAGTGTCCGTCAGCAGCCACAGCCTGCCGGCCCCTCAACCGGCACACTCTGGGGCTCCACAGCCCGCCACCAGCTCTGAGTGCCGCCTCTGGCACGCGTGCCATAGGTTCGCCACCACTGTCATAGCAATTTCAAGAGTGCTACATCCCTCTGAAAGACTTTTTACAATTTTTCACTTTTCACAGTGAGTTAAATCTCTTTTTTGGCCCATTTTGCCTGAGGGAGAAAAAGCTGTTTAATAATTATGCACACCTTGATATAGGGTATTGATCTCCTAAGGCCACACCCTCCCTCATTACACAAATACATATCACCTGATATGCTTATATCCACTAAATATTCAAGTTTATACAGCTTGGAGGTAGAAAATATGCATGTAAATGATAATATGGTCAAAATACTCACTTGCCTAATAATTGTGCACACAGTGTATGTTATCCATGCACATATATTAGGAAAATGTTTAAGTCTGTATTATATGTGCTTGTACTCAAGATTTTGGCTGTTTTAAGCTTCTTTAATTCAGGGAACCAAATATGTTGGGTAGACTTCTGAAATCAATGAAATCTCTTTCATTGATGTGATAAAACAAGGATTTGTTCAAGTTGAGCTCATACAGTCCTCGACTTACAACAGTTTATTTAGTGACCGTTCAAAGTTACAATGTGACTTATGACCACTGCAGCATCCCCATGGTCACGTGATCAAAATTCTCATACTTGGCAACTGGCATGTACTTATGATGGTTGCAGTGCCTGGGGTCATGTGATCCCCTTTTGTGATCTTCTGACAAGCAAAGTCAATGGGGAAGCCAGATTCACTTAACAACTGTGTTACTAATTTAATAACTGCAGTGATTAACTTTTCAACTGTGGTAAGAAAAGCCATAAAATGGGACAAAATTCACTTAACAAATGTATCGCTTAGCAACAGAAATTTTGGGTTCAAAAGTCGAGGACTACCTGTATACTGTTTGTAGAAACAACACAGAAATGGTTTCTCAGTGCCTTTTCTTTTCTTCCTCATTTCTCAATCTTGTCCCAATGCCAGTATACTAATTGAATACTAACCAGATCCAACCGGTCTAGCCTTTTCAAGATCAGTTAAGGTAGTTGCTGCAACCTGATACAAAATGAGACATTCTGGGCTCTTGTCAGAGGAATAAAGGGAAACCCCAGCCAGAGAATGAAAAGAAGGCCAAAACAGGAAGGAATACGTGCTTACGTGCTCCATGCAACATAACTTGTTTGACTGGAAAGAAAATACTCTGCAGGTATCTCCAGCCTAATCGCAGTCAGCATGATTATTTTCTGCCTATCCACTCCACCAATGGAGCATCAACCAGCCTCCATATGTAGTTTTGGATCTTCAGCCTTGAAATGGGGCAAAAGGGGAAATTGCTTCCTCTACAGCAGAAGATGAAGCTAAGATTAAACTAAAAGAGAAGGCTTTTATTTTAAATCCACTGGATAATAAGTTAAAGGTAGCCATAACTATGCTTAGGGAGCAATTCAATATGTTATTGGCTGATCAGATTGCAACTAATTTGCGATTTATGAAACATAATACTTTTTGTAATGCAAATAAATCTGGCAGGTGGTTAGCCTACCAATTACGAAAGAAGCAGAAGTCAAGAATTATAGAGAAAGTAGATTACAAAGGCAAAGTGACATATAAACAAAATTTGATTAAAAGTAGTTTTTGGGATTTTTATTCAAAGTTATATGCCTCTGAGAATATACAACTTTCAGAAATAGAGAATTATTTACAGCAGGCACACTTTCCTAGCTTATCAAATAATCAAAAGGAGGAGATGAATTGCTTGATTACTGCTGAGGAAATTATTGGAGCAATCAAGCAATTAAAGGTTGGTAAGGCTCCCGGTACAGATGGATTAACAGCAATTTATTATAAGGTGTTATCTGATGAAATGATAGAGCCATTAAAGGAACTGTTTAATAGTATTTTGTTGGGTGCAGAGGTACCTCCATCTTGGAGAAGGGCTTTCATATCGCTGATCCCAAAGGAGGGTCAGGATTTGACCCAGCCCAAGAATTATAGACCTATATCTTTATTGAACATAGACTATAAGATTTTTTCAAAAATATTGGCAAATAGATTAATGCAAGTTTTGAGGCAATTGATTCATAGTGATCAATCTGGATTTATAACTGGAAGATATATGAAGTATAATGTAAGACAAATTGTTAATTTAATTGAATATTTGGATAAGAATAATCAAATCCCTGCGGCCTTTATATTTTTGGATGCTGAAAAAGCGTTCGACCAATTAGACTGGCGGTTTTTATTGCAAGTCGTAGAGAAAATGAATTTTGGGGAATTTTTTTTGTTTGCTCTTAGGGCTATTTACCAATAACAATCGGCACAAGTCATAGTCAACGGGGGGTTAACAGAGGCATTTAAAATTGAGAAGGGTACAAGGCAGGGATGTCCACTATCTCCATTGCTATTTGTTTTAACAATGGAGATTTTATTAATTAAAATTCGGGAATCACCTATAATAAAGGGAATAAATGTAAATAAGAACGATTATAGGTTAAGAGCTTTTGCTGACGACTTGGTGCTGACACTAACTCAACCGATAGACTTGGTAAAGGACTTGGTGGAAGGGGCGTTGTCTTACCTGAACGCCTTTTCTCAGTACGGAGATGGAGAATTCACATGTGGGTTTTCATTGGATGCCTGCTCTTGAGACCAAGTAGTCAAACTTGACACGCCCCCTCTTGCTAATCCAGTCTTTAACGAGGGCGAAGTGACTGAAGATGGACGAGGTGTTGGCTCTCAGACCCCAACAATAGTCTGACTGACCTTAAGGGGTGGGTGTGAATTCTCCATCTCCGTACTGAGAAAAGGCGTTCAGGTAAGACAACGCCCCTTCTCCAGTACGGGAGATGGAGAATTCACATGTGGGACATACCCAAGCTCCAC